CGCGCCCGCCCCGCGCCCGCTCGCTCGCGAGTCAGCTCTGCCGCCGCTGCCGCTCTAGCACAGGCGGAGACACAGAGACACACAGACTCTGAGAGCAGTTTTCGTGCAACTCAAAATTAGCGCGGGCAGGTTTAACATCGATAATCGGCTGCGAAATGATCCCAGCAGCCGGGGGCACAGCCTCGGCCCCGTCGCCCTCGGTTTATACAGCTAACAAAAGAAACCAGGACCTGTCTCTAAATAGCCATCTTAGGCTTCAAGGCTAGGCAGAAGCTGTAGGCCTCAAAAAAGGGCCTATGGAGATGGATAGATCTGGGAGAGGGATCTGAATCGGCCCCGACCCCGGCCCCCCCAGAACCCGCGGACGTCGCTATCCGGAACAGTATTGATCCTTTTGAACTTTTTTTTTTTTTTTTAAAGTGTAAACCGACCGCGTTGAGATTTAAAAGGGGGCGACAGAGGGACTTGCGATTGGTTATTGTCCGGGCTTCAAAAACAAAACAAACCCACCAGACCCCCCCCCAAACAAAACAAGTGCTGCTAAATACAGGAAAATAGGGTGAAAACGCAGTAATTCAAGCAGCTCTTGCTTAGTAACTCTTACAGAACGATCCGAATTACCCACTGACGCTTTAGGTATCTACAGATCTCTGTAGAATGGGTATTTATTTCATAGTTAGGATACGGTTTTCTTGGATTATGCACTTTCAGACGCGTATGCCTGTATTTTTAACAGGTTTCTGAGAAGAATCAGTGGGGAGAAATTGTTGAAGAGTTCAACTTTCCCAGAAGTTGTTCTAACGCTGCCTTTGCTTTAAAACAGTATTACTTGCGGTGAGTAGTATTGACTCTTCCACAGTATTGGGGTATAAGGGATTTAGTAAGATTTGGGGGGAGATTTTTTTTTTTTTAAAGAAAAACATAAAAAAGAAACTTGCCCACAGTCCATTTGAAATTATAATGACTGATTAATTTCAATCTGAGAAGCATTAAATATGGACAAAATACGATTGTAGGAAGGTGAAAGTTTTTCACCTCTTTTACGATTGTTTACATTTTTCATACAAAATCCTTCCAGGTGAGACCCCACCCAATCTTGGTAAACATTCTTTTGTGACATTGTTATTGATTGCTTGATATCCACAGAGGGGCGGGAAGGTGATGCTTAGTAAAAGAGTTAAAGATAGTTAATGAAACTTTGTATCCCTTGGGAAATTTTTTTCTTTATTTTGGAAACTCCTTTACCTTTTTATGACTTTAAGAATTTTTAAAAAATGAAAGCTTGTACTGTGTCATTGAGTAGTTTTTAAGTAGGATATTTCTACATGTTAGTACCTTAGGTGACCATATTGTTATTAAAACAATTTTTTTGTTGATTTTTGAGTGGCTTAAAAATGTTGGAAAAAATCATATCTTTAGGAAAATTTGGGATATTTTGAAACAAGATACTTTGATTTGGATTTTCTTTCATTCTCCTTTTTTGACTGAGTATTTGACAAGATAAATTTCTTAGTTGGTATGTGGTACAGTTTAGATAATATATTTTGTGATTTAGTTATTTTATTATTTTTTTCCAGGTTTTTTAGGAATATTTTCATATTATTGTAAGGTCATCTTTTATTTTTAATGTTTATTTACCCATACAAAGACCTTAGTTGATGGTTTTTCTTTAAAACTAAAATAATGCTCTGCGTGTTTATTGATTTTTAATACTGTTTTTGTAGCATGGCTTTCCTTTTTATAATATGATTTCTAATAAGTTCAATTTTGCATTTATTGTTGCTCAGAATGCACACAGTTATTCTGTTTCATGTTCAGTATTCTGAAATAGGAAATGCAGTAATTGCACAGGTGCACTTTCTATTGGCTAGCTTAGATTGACTTCATGCTGGAAGCTGAAGAGCTTGCAGAACTTTGTGGAGTAGTTTTTGAGTTTCACAGAAGTCTAGAAATATTCAATATGGTTTATTGCTATCTTATTTATGATGGCATGTGTGTCAGAGTATGTTTTTAAATAAAAGGCTAAATTAAAAAAAAAAAACGTTAAAATTAACCTCCAAAGCTCCTGATTTAGCAATGTGGTACACAATATAGAATTTTATATTTATTATGGCATCCATATGCTCATTTTCATTGCATATATTATAATATTGAGAAGAATACTGTTAAATAAACGTTCTGTATTTATGGTAGTTTGAACCATTGATATTTATTGGATTAATGAATTGATTAAACTTTAATACCTGAAAGGTAGTGTATGATACACATGGTTAATGAAGTGTATTTTTTTCTGAAGAATTTGCATTCATGCTAACACAGTTTTAGCATAATCCATGAAATGTCTAGGCTTCTTAACTTTTTGCAGAAGTTAATCATAAATATTATTTTTCCACTTGTAATTTTTGTCTTGAGATATATCCTGCATTGATTATGATTATAAGTACTATTTAGGACTGTATAATTTTAAGGTTGTTTGCAACTATTTACATTGTCCTCAGATCAGTGTAGGCTTTATGCTCTTATTAGAAGCTGCTCTTTGAACTATGTCCTTAGCTAAACTTGTTTTTCCTCCATATGTCACTCTCCAGGTTTGTTTTTGTACAGTTGTAGCTAGGCTACTAGGAAAAAAGTTGGAGCATTTGTTTTGGAAAATAAAACCATGTGAAGATTTGCATGGCTTATAAAGAAATACAAAGGAATATGCTGGTCAAAAATTGGGTACTGCCAACCTTGAAAGAAATTTTCCCTAGTGGTGTAATATTGCACAGTTAGGGAACATGTATTATGTTGGTTTTTACACCTCTCTCTGAAAAACCTTAGGGGCAGACAGGATGCCAGCCTCTAACAGTTATTTTTTCTGTTATTTAACTGGAATGCCTCTTCATAGTAAATAGTAATCAAGTGACTTTGTAAGTTACTTTTTTGCTTTATCAAATTGAGTATCATAGTTTCTGATGGACAGACGGTGCAGTGTGTTTCTTAAGTCACAGGTGGGATAATTTTTTTAAATGTTAACTGCTTTTTCATTTGACCTATTGTAAGACTGTGATTACTATACAGTGTGCTGGTTCTCATTGACTCTTTAAATCTACTATTTGCTCACATCCCCCTATAATTTTACTGTTAATTGGATGAATACTTGTTAGCCTAGTATTTTATGTATATCTTCATAATATTCCAGACACTTAAATAAGGAATTGCAAACTAATATGCTGCCATGTTTTTGCCATTTTTATGTTTGTTTTGATATAAACATAGACAAAGTTATTAAATATAGAGAGTTGAGTTTAGTGGACTGCCAAAATGTAGCTTGATTGTATGAAAACATAAGTTTACTTATTTATAGATTGTATATAGAAATTTCTTAAAGTCTAAATCTGAAAATGCAATTGATTATTTGTTTTAACATTGGCATTTAATTTTAAAACTGTAAGTGCCAACTAACAACATACATTGTTTAAAAGTTGAACATTAATCGTCTATGATGTCTGTATTCTTTATTTTCATTTGATTTGTTTCTTGGTATGTATATATGAGCAAATGTTTATTATTCGAATATCTCAGTAAGTATGAAAGGATAAGGTATAATTTCCTACATTTTTGTAGGTGGAGAAGTGCAAAAAATTAAGTGGCTTTGGGGGCATTCATTAATTGTACAAAAGAATTGTGTTCATGACATGTATTCAGTAATATTTAATAACTCTATTATAAATTCAGTTTGTTAGTCACAAATTGTTTTAAGAAATTTAAATATAATTGGAAATTACATGTGGTTAAATTTATGCCCAAGTATATCTATTCCTAGTGAGTTCCATGTATACTCAGTGGATTTTTTGTTGTTGTTGTTCTGTTTTGTGGCTAAGCTAGGGGGATGATTTATTATTCTTATTTCAGTTAATTTGAAGGCTTGTTATGAAGATTTAGGGAAATATTTCAAATACTTGAAGAATTTTGACTAGTACCAATAGTATTGGAATAGTCAAGGTTAACTTGATGCTTCCATTATAAAACTTGATGTTTTTCTTGAAAGGAGGTGAAATGAACATTTAAAAATGTATTTCACAAAACTATTTATTACTGGTGTTCTGGCATTGAAACATATAATGCTAGTTTTTTGTTTTTTCAATAAATATTCAACCTTTTAAGTTGAGGTCAATTCTTGCCTTCTATGTGGGAGGCCCGGGTTCTGTTTCCATCCAGTGTACACCTCAGGTGCAGCCAACTACTACTCATCTGTAAGTGCAGCATGCTGCCCTGATGCTGAGTGGATTTCAGCAGAGCTTCTAGACTGAAACAGACAAGAAAGAAAGGCTTGGCAATCTACTTCTAAAAATTAGCTAGCCCTGTGTATTGCAATGCTCTGATCCTGTTCTGCGTGGTGTTGACATGAGTGGTGGGATGAGGGGGGGTAGATTGGACGGCAACAATTTTTAGAATAGTCAGACATATTATTGTAGAGTTGTCATCCATCATAGTAGATTTTCATTTGCATTGTGAATTTAAAAAAACAAAAACCAAACCAAACCCCTGAATCAGTTGCCTTGAAGTTGATTCTGACTAATGGTAACCCCATGTGTTTTAGGGTAGATATTTATTCTATAGGGTTTTCAAATGGCTATGATTTTTTAGAAGTGGATCATCAGACCTTTTTCTTCAACTATGCCTCTGGGTGGGCAGATTTGAACTGTCCTTCAATATACACCAGTAGAGGGAGTTTCTGTTAATCAGTTGAATGGAATGAATATATTCATGTATTTTGTAATTAGTGTCCACCATGTAGATCAGTTATTGTAAGAGAAAGCTTGTTAGGAGTTACTTAACATGTATATAACATAAGCGTAACATTGAGTTATGTTTCAGAAATCGTGGTAAAGAAAGTAAAACATAGGATTTGTGAGTTGCTTAATAGAGAGTACTCTGGTTTGAGAAAGGAAAATAAAAGTAATACAGAGACTAGCGCAACAACTGGCTGAGTAAATTATTCATGTATGTATATATATATATGTATATGTAATTTACTTTTATAAACTGTATCCTTTCCTTTTGAACAAACCAGATTTTGATGTCTTCTGATATTCTGTTACATTTTAAAGGGCATGTAGACTTGTTGATAGAGGGAACAGAAAGTAGAGAAGGTTGAAAGACTGATCAAAGCTCAGCTAGATTAATGTTGTGTCCTAGAAACTTGTTTTGGTGCCAATACAAAATAGCTTAAATTTGCCCCAAAATAAAATTAATTTAATATTGAAATCTAGTTTTTTCCAACATAATTATAAATTTCAAAAAGGATATGGACTAAAAACTATAATTCACAAAAATGTTTAAATGCTTTTTTACATTTTAATTGTTGACCATAACTATTTACTAAAAATATCTATTTCTGAATAGGAGCACTCTTTTATAATCCTGTTATTTTCTCTGGTGTGGATTTAGTATTTTCGTAGTTGTTTATGAAATCCACTATAATTTTTTTGGTAGAAAAGTATATGACATTATGGCTCTTTTACATTCCCAAGTGGAATGAAGTTTGAAGTTGGGAAAGGAAGAAAAAACAAACACTTTAATTCCTTGGAATATGCATTGCATATGTTAGAAATTATTTTCATCATTTTGTGAAGGCTGCTTATTGGGCATTTTCCAGAGTGATGTAGAACTTCCCAAAGTTTAATTGTAAAATGGGGCTTACCTGATTGAGAACTACAGGGCTTATGGGAAGGAAAGGAAGATTCTCTTTCTTTGCATCTTTGATTTTCCGCCACCATCATCGTTACATTCTTTAATATTCAGAATCAGTCTGAGAAGAAATTCCCAGCTTAGGCTTTATGAAATACTAG